AAACCCTAGGCCCAAGTCCCTCATCCACTTGAGAAATCCCCTTCAACCCTAAACCCTAAACTAAACCCTAAACTAAACCCTAAACTCTAAACCCTAAACCCTAAACTAAACCCTAAACCCTGAACTGAACCCTAAACCCTAAACCCTAAACTAAACCCTAAACCCTAAACCCTAAACTAAACCCTAAACCCTAAACTAAACCCTAAACCCTAAACCCCTCCAAGTGGCCCAGAGCCGGATGTCCCACGGGACTGAGCTGGGCGGAGCTGAAGTCGTGCATGAGGATGACCTGAACCCCCCAGACTCTAACGGTGTAGAGCCTGAGGGCTTTAGAGCTTTAGGGTTTCAGGGTTTCAGGGTTTAGGGTTTTAGGGTTTAGGGTTTTAGGGCTTAGGGTTTAGGGTTTAGGATTTTAGGGTTTAGGGTTTACGGTTTTAGGGCTTAGGGTTTGGGATGCCATACCTCAGGAATATACCTGAACTTCCACGCGGGCTTCATGGTAGGATTTCAGGTTCCTCCGTCAACAGGCACGGGGGATGACCTGAAGAGGCTCAGGGATTAGGGGTTCCGGTGTTTAGGGGTTCGGCGAAGAATGTACGAACCACACGGTCTAGGGTTTAGGGCTTTAGGGTTTTAGGGTTTAGGGTTTAGGGTCTAGGGTTCAGGGTTGAGGGTTTAGGGTTCAGGGTTGAGGGTTCAGGGTTGAGGGACGGCATGCCTGCCCCAGGGGCGCGAAGAGCACAAAGGCAACCCACCATGCAGCCGTGGTGAAGACAAGCCTCAGAGAGTTTCAGCTCTGACCCAAGTTTGAGGTTTTCGAGCTTTGGGCAGCAAAGGTCCAAGCCAAACTCCGAACCTGCAACCCTAAAACCTGAACCCTAAACCCTAAACCCTTTACTCTAAACCCTGAATCCTAAACCCTAAACCCGTGCCCCAGCTGTACTCCTCTGGGGCCGCGGCCAGCCCTTGAACACGTCCCAGGGAAGCCTCGAGGGATCTGCCGGCTTAAGGCAACAGCGAACCCCAGAAAGCTGGAACATGGCTTTAATGTAGGGGCCTTAATAATTAGAATAGGGCTTTGGGGCCCATTATATACTATAAATATAATAAGGAACCCCCCAAAATAGTATGGATTATTCACGCCCCTATATCAGGGTTTAGGGTTTAGGGGTTTAGTGTTTGGCCGGTTAAAAGGGGTTTAGGGGTTTAGGGTCGAGGATCCCTTGTACTTCACCTTAAAGGACATCAGGATTCTTCCAACTTTAGGACCTTGCAGAAACCCGCAAAATTCCTCCTCGAAACCTACAAAGCCCTGTGGACAAGGTCTTCCAAAACCTGCAAAAACCTGTTCGGGCCGAGCTGCAGGTGCGTGGAATCTGCCATTGCCTGGAAGCCAAGTGGCCGTAGCTGCGACAGGAACCTGGCGAATCTCCAGTAAAGGGGCCTGTAAAAGTTGGAACAGGGTTCCTTTCGGGGTTACTATACGGGCTCTTTTAGGGCTTCTATGAATAGTTTCCGGATTTAGTCTAGAAGATCTTAGTTTCGGGGGGACACGATGGCAGCAGTATCAGTGCACGGGGGCTCTGAACGGAAACTACTACAACTTAAAGGATCATGGGACTTAGTAAGTAGGGTTATAACTAAGGTAACTATACTTATAACCCCAATTAGGGGACTTATAGCCATACTTACTAAGTCCCATGATCCTCCAAGTAATCGTTGAATGAGCATCCTTTGTTACCTGATTTGGGCGCCTGAATCGGGCCTTTGGGTATATTTTGTAGCTGTGCCAGGAGAAAGGTACTACAAGGGAGTATAGCTTACAGCCCTACACCTCAAAACCAAGGCCCTCAACCCTCGCACCCCAAACCCTGAGACCTAAATCCCAGACTCCAAGCCCACAGCCTCTAAGCCCTAAACCCTAAACCCTTAAACCCTCAACCCTAACCCTGAACCATAAATCGCCCTGAACCTGACACCCTGAAGCCTAAACCAAAAGCCCCTAGTGTAGGGACCTCAATAATTAGAACAGGGTTTTGGGCTATATTATACTATAGTTATAACAAGGAGTCCCCCAAAAAATAGTATTGGTAGCTATTTACAATTATTACAGGCCCCTATATTAAACCGTTAACCCTGAACCCTCCAGCCTAAACCCGAAACCCTAAACCCTAAATCCCAAATCCTAAAACCCCACATCCCGAACCCTCCACCCTGAACCCTAAAGCGAGCATGACGAAAGGCCTGTCCCAGCAGGCAGCCCCAAGAATGCCGAGATGAACATGGAGAAGGTACGGCCTCAGACGCTCTTCGTAGGCTTGTTCTTCGGAATTAGGGCTTAGGGCTTAGGGTTTAGGGCTTAGGGTTTGAGTTCAGGGCTCAGGGTTTCGGATGTTAGGTTCGGGCTCATGGCAGTGATCTCCAGCAACCCCTAGACGAGCGCAAACATTCATAGTACCATCTAGCACCCCAATAGAGCCCCATGTAGATCCCTTCTAGAAGCCTTATCGTACCCTCACGGAGCCTGTATAGAACCCTTATAGAGGTCGCTTCTAATATAGAAGCCTCGGTCATTCTCCATATTATTCCTCTGGGTTCTTCTTTTCTACAACACTTAGTAGTATAACATAATTACCTCAAAACCCTTCTAATTTACAGTAGTTACTAAGACCCCTGTACTAAACCCTTACAGTAGCCCTTTTACAGCCATTTAGCAGAACCCCATATCAGCGAAAACTGAGGCCGCAAGCAGCACCATCGCTGTCCTGCCGGGCCAGTCCTGCCCACCAGGATGATCTTCAGATTTCGGGGGTTCAGGGCTCAACGTTCGGAGTTTAGAGTTTAGGGTTTAGGCCTAAACCTTAAGCCCGAAACCCTACACACCCTAAACCCTTAGAGGTGTCCCTTAAGGGATCCCTTAAAGGAACCCTTGTAGGAGTTTAGGGTTTAGGGAACATAATATGGGGGCCTTAACAGTTAGAATTGGGTTTTGGGGTATATTATATAAGAAGGACCCCAAAAATAGTATAGGCAATTATTGAGGTCCATATATCAATGCTCCCAAACCGAAGGAGCCAAAAACTACTACAACAAGAAATCGCGTGCCTCTCCGAACGAGAGGGTCTTCAAGCAGAACATGAGAGCAAGCGGCGAGAGCCTCATTGTGGCATTGATAGCCGAAGTCTTTGTGGTTTAGGATCTTCTGGTTTAGAGGTTTAGATCTAAGGTTAAAAGTATGGGCCCCTAATATGGGCCCTTAGGCCTTTCTAGGGACCCTTAAGGGTACATATAGGGTATATAGTAGGTGTATAAGGATCCCAGGTTTAAGGGCCCATACTAGGGGCCCATGGGCTCAACCTTAGATAGAGGTTTTGAGTCGGAGTTTCGAGCATTGTGTCTCCCGACTCGCTTGAGTGCCCGACGCAAGCGCGAAGGCAAGGACGTCGTGCCAGACACGCGCCTCTTTGCAATCCGTACCGCATCTTCCCTCTCGGACAACTCTCTGACTCTGGGATGTTCATGTCAAGGCTAAGCCCTAAACCCCCACAGTCTCGAACCCCATGCCCTAAACCCTGAACCCTAAATCCTACACCCTTTACCCTAAACCTTAAGCCCGAAATCCGAGCCGTAATCCGTAAACCCTAACCATCCCTAAACTCACACCCCTGCAATGTACGGGCCTTAAATAATTAGAATGGGGTTTGGGGGGGTTCCTTATTATAACTGTAGTATAATGGGCCCCAAAACCCTATTCTAATTATCACAGGAGCCTGAACCCTAAACCCGAATCCCTGAACCGTAAACCCTAACCCTAAACCCTAACCCTAAACCCTTAAACCCCCGATGCCTTCACTGTGTGGAGGAGGCCAGCCACCGGTCGCCAGAACACGAAGACGAAGGCGAAGTTCACGCTGGTCGCCAAGAGGATCTCGGCTCCTGGGCCATCCGCCGAACAGGACTATACGATACTAGTTCAGGGTTTAGGGTTTAGGGTTTTAGGGTTTAGGGTTTAGGGTTTAGGGTTTAGGGTTTAGGATACTTTCATACACCATTATAAACGGTATAAAGCCTGTAATATGCTGTGCATTACTACACTATCACAGACCATCATTAACGATGTAAAGCCTAAGATGCCGTGCATTACTATGCGATCGTATACGATCATAAACGACCTAAAGCTGTATAATATGCCATACTATGCAGTCATATACTCTAATTATAGACTACAACATACTACGAAAGCATCATCGCACATCCAGTGAAGCCTGCATCTGGTCATGAGAATCTTGTTCATTCCGCTGCCGCTACTGCTGCGTGGTGACCACGATTAGGATGACAATGTTGATGATGATGGTGATAATGATGGTGGTGGTGGTGGTGGTGGTGATACTCATGGCGATGACGATCATCACCACCATCAACATCATCATCATCATCATCATCATCATCATCATGTGTTGGTGATGGGTTACGGTTCGAGCCCTTTTGAAGTTTGTTTGTGGGGGGGCACGAAGGACAGGTGATTCGGTGGAACGGGCGTGGAGATTGCAATTAGGGCAATTGGGGTTCGTGCTTGGTGGGAGCGGTAGTGGGCGGAGCCGAAACAACAAGTGCAACATCCAGAAGCAGTGCTGGAAAATACTTCTGGTGTTAATATGGCCACTGGCGGCTAACGGCAACAGCGGTAGGAAACATAAACCTAAACCCTAAACCCTAAACCCTCAACCCCAAACGCCAAAACTCATGAGAATTGATGGCAGCCTTTGCCCCAGTCCCGCAACTCTGGTCCTTCAGGTCTGCCACCGGAAAACAGCAGGACCTTGACACAGGGCACACTGCTACCCCGGCTGCCGGCCGGCACGCTGCTAGGTAACAGGGCCTAGGGTTTAGGGATTTAGGGATTTAGGGGTTTGGGGTTCAGGGTTCAGGGTTTAGGGTTTAGGGTTTAGGGATTTTTGGATTTGGGGTTTAAGGTCTCAGAGCTTCCAGGAACCTCACACAAAACCCCTATCCCTGCAAACAACCCCGCATAAAACCCTACGCCAAGCCCTGCGCCGAGAACCTTCGCACCGGATTCGGCAACAATACAACAACAAGTACCCTAAAGTCCTAGGTACTACTGATCATAAGTTTAGGGTTCAGGGTTAAGGGTTTAACCGTGACTAAGCTACAAGCCCTACACCCAGCAAAGACAAAAGGTATTTTAGCTTTACAACCCTCAGCCCTTAGAGCCATCAAAACTAACCTGCTGAATACACCCTTGCAGTTTCATTGCAATGAAAAACAAAGAACTCCTAAGAGCAATGAAGTTTCATTGTCAAACTCCTAAACCCTAAATCCTAAACCCTAAGAGCACGAAAGAGCCTCTTTCCCCCCCCCCCCCGCCGGCCTGCTCTGCAGCCTGGGTAGGCGCTTCCTCGCTCGGCGCGCCGAGGAAGCAGAAGGCGAAGTTGCAAATCCAGGCCTTGAGATCATTCGGGGTTCAGGGTTTGAGGGCTTAGGGCTTTCGGGCTTAGGGCTCCAAGTTTAGGGTGGTAGGGTGTGGGACTTACAGAATCTGCGAGTGTTTTGGTGCTACAAGAATATAGCGGGCCTTACTGATTCGAATGGGGCTTTTGGGGTACATTCTGCTAAAGTTATAGCAAGGAACCCCCAAAAGTTTAAAGAACATATGTAGGTATTCAGGCCCCAAACCGTAACCCCTAAAGCCCCTAAAGCCCCTAAAGCCCCTATTATACGGTATAAGTCCTGCATTACCCATAGTAAGAAATATCACACAATTCCCATACTTTATTCCCATACTTTAGGGTCCTGAAGGTACTGCAGGATTTATATCATCCCTAAACCCTAAACCCTAAACCCTAAACCCCTAAACCCTAAACCCTAAACCCTAAACCCTAAACCCTAAACCCTAAACCGTGGCTCTGACCACAAATACAAGGACCTGGGAGGCTACAGGGTTTTGGATTTAGGGGCTGGGGCGGCTTCCGGGTGCAGGAGTTGGGGCTGAGACTGTAACTGCAGGGCTGTAATGCAGGGTTTAGGATTTAGGGTTCAGGGTTCAGGGTTTAGGGTTTAGGGTTCAGGGTTTAGGGTTTAGGATTTGGGGTTTAGGGTTCAGGGTTTAGGGTGTAGAAGCCTTAATAATTAGAACAGGTATTTGGGGTTCCTTTAAAGGTTCTAGAGGGGCTACTATAAGGGTTTAGCGTTTAGGAGCCTTAATAACTAGAATAGGGTTTGGGGGTTCCTTTAAAGGTTCTACAAGGGCTACTATAGGGTGTGGGGTTAAGGCGCCCTAATAATTGGAATAAGGTTTTTGGGGTCTATGATACTATAATCATAATAAGGAACTCCCACAATCAGTATTTATAATTATTGGCGCCCCTATATTAGGGTCTAGCTAGAGGCTTGAGAGCTCTGGGTTCAGCAGCGATACAATAGGCTGCTTCTGAGTAACGCTGGTTGTGATTCTCACAAGATAGATATTCATACATAGGTATATGTGTATGTGTATACTCTCTTCATGTATAGATATATGTGCATATATATATATATATAGATGTATATGTGCACAGATCCGAATTCTTACAGAAAGTCTAAATGTGATAACCAACTTACCCAAAAAAACTCATAGACAAGCACCGCCTCTCGCGGCGAAACATCAAACATGCTGAGATGGGCTGGGGGCACTGATGATAATGGAACCCTTAACACCGAAACCTTAAACTCAAATCCCAACCTTAGCCTTAAACGGTTTAGGGTTTAGAACTTAAGCCCTAAGAGACATCTCAAAGACTCTTCATCCCAGGAGTGGCCTGCAATTCGTGCGCCGGGTGGGCAACCGCGACGTTGCAAGATTGGGCTGGGCCCTATGAGCCATCCCATTGGCGATAAGTCTTAAGCGTTTAAGAGGGTTTTTTGGGTCTAAGGCTAAGTGCCTTCATCTTACGGCCTGTTCTGTCATCCTTGCTAAGGAAGCCTCAACTGATGTGTTTTCGGGGATTGGCCAGAGAATAAACTCTGTTTTCCCCGATTCACTCGTCCAAATGCCTGAGCCCTAAACTAAATATAGGGGGCCTTAATGACTAGGATAGGGTTTTGGGCTCCTCTATACTATAATAATAATGATAACAAGGAGCCCCCAAAATAGTAGGTCATCATTCAAGCCCCTAAGCTTCACCTTAAGCCTCTTAAACCCAAAGCCTGGATCCACAACCCTCGTCCCAAAACCCGAAGCCCGGAATACCACGGGGTTTAGGGTTTAGGGTTCAGGGCTTCGGGTTTCGGATTTAGGGTTTGAGGGTGTAGGGTTTAGGGTTTCGGGTGTAGGGTTTAGGGTGTAGGGTTCAGGGAACAGCACCAAGGTCACGGCCGAAAGGAGAGGCAAGAGCAGGGCCGTGAACCTGGGATTGGGCTTCTGATACCCCTCACTTGAAACCCTAACCAGAAGTTATAAACCCTACAAGCCATACAAGTCCTACAGCCTATCAGTTTTGTCCAGGGTTTGCAAAGGTTCCTTGTTCAGCTTGCCCACGGTTTTTTTTTTAATACCGCACTTAGGCCCTAAACCCTAAATCTGCAGGAGTTGGCTTTCTGGGTCGCTTATGGACGACGCCTTCCTGCGATGAACAATCAACCGAGGGTTTAGTGCTCAAGCTTTGGGGATATCAGGTGCAGGGTTCTTCTAAGCCCTAAAGCCTGAAACCTAAACCCTAAACCCTAAACGAAAAACCCTAAACCCTAAACGATAAACCTTAAACCCTAAACCTTAAACCTTAAACCTTAAACCCTAAACCCCTAAACCCTAAAACCCTAAACCCTAAACCCTAAAATCCGAAATCCTAAACCCCTAAACCCTAAACCCTAACTCCGAAATCCTAAT